AACAGAAACTTTTTTATTTCTCTCCGTCTATTATGAGCGTCACGTATACTTTCTTAACCTAACTTTTCTTTCTCAATCAAGTGTCATATTACATTCGAGACACACTATTCTAAGCTTCAATTCTCTCATCCGAGACTAACCTACAAATCATGAGATTAATGAGTCGTTATTTGTCCTTTGTTTTCACAGAAGAAGCAGCAACAGTGGATGGACGAGAATAAAATATACCTGATGCACCATCCCATATATAGGTAAGCTAAATCGTTCGCTTCTCTCATGGGAACATCCTGCGTACTCTGTGTACAAGAACAAGTTTGCTATAGTTCACCAATTACCGCAACTTCCGATCAATCCTTAATCTAATTATGTGCAAACGTTTTATAATTATAAAATTATATTAACCGGTTTCTACTATGTAGTATCTTTTTATAATCATTTTTTATATATTCTATTTGGAAATACTTGTTTGTAGATCTGCAGATTCTTTTAGTGTTCTGATCTAAAGTGATTGTTTATATTTGTTACAGGATATTCTACGTCTCTCATGATAGCCACGACTTGAAAATCTTTAGTTACATTGCCCGTGATGGAAGCAGTAACACGTTTAAGTGCAACGTCTTCAAATCTAGTAAAAAGGTAAGTGATGCGTGTCAAATTATTTATATTCTTTATGTGACTATGATGAATTAACTTAAATATCTGTAATGTCATCAAATTTCAAGTACTGATATAGAAAATGATATTAAAGTAATTGGGCACAAGCTACTAGAAAATTCTTAGTACAAAGGTGTAGTTACAATTTGTATGAGTTCCTTATTCCTAATTTTAAATATATTCTACAAATTTATACTTTTATTCTTAAATTACGCAATTCAATAAATTCAAGACTTTATTATTCCAAAGTTACAAGATTAAAATTCCTAAAATCTTTGCGACAAAATTTATTAATCTTAAACAAAAAATTAGACAGTTAAAATCCTTAGAATCTTTCCCAAATTTTCATTAATGCTGAAATTAAAAAACTAAAGATTCTGAAATCTGTTCAAAAGTTTTATTAAATCCTACAACTAAAATTAAAAAGTCTAGACACCTAAAAAATAAAAAAAATTTAAATACTCTACAATTTTCAGAATTGCTTAAACTTAAGCTAACTGTCTCTAACAATTTTTACACAGAGCGTAGTAGAATTCTTGTTCTGTAGGGTGTGCATAGTCATCAAGCCATAATGTTACGTGGTGCACGTGCGTACACCCACAATTATTCCCGCGGCGCAAAACTGTGTCGCCTGGCATTTTATCAAGTCACGTTATTGTAATCCTATAAATAACCGAGCCATCCCTCTCGAGTTCTTTCATGCACACGTACACTTTTGCTCCCTGACTTTTCTTTCTCCCCGTTCTTTTCTTTCACTCTCCTTTTTGTTCTGCCTGTTCCAGCTCGATTGAAGCCTTCCTGTTCCTCTTTTCGCCTCATTCCACGTTTCTTCTACTCGTCACAGCTAGAATCAACTTGAACCTCTTCCTCATGCAATCACTATAGTCATTTAAGCTTTTTCTGGCGAGTCTTCAGGGTAATTTAGATGGATAAAAGATGTTGGTTTATTTCTTGATGTTTTGATGCGAATTGGTCTTTATAATGCCTTGAAAAAATTGCAAATCTTGCATCCTGTATAAAGATAAAAAAGTTGAATAGTTCTTAAAGAATTTTCTTGGAGGATTAGAGTTTGAAGTGTGTGGAGTATAATTAAAATATCAAAGATGCACGTAGATCATGTGTGAGTGCTTGTATGACTAGGAGATTTTAAAATGTTGTAATGTTCTTAAGATAGCAATAGATTTTTATGTTTGTAAGACTTCCTGGATTTCTACTCTATCTTCTGTGTTTGTAGGACTTTTTTGCAAGGTTTATCTTTCAAGATCTACTAAACATCTCATTACTGGTTCATAAACTTCTGAATATTTCTGATCTTTAATACTCGTCATTTTCTTCAGATGATAGATATTTTAGAATTTCTTGTAGAAAGTTTTTAATTTGAGAAATTATTGGTTACTTCAAGATTCAATGTTCCGCCGTAATAAAATCGCATTCTTCTAAATTGAAATTAAATGTAAATTAAGTAGAGTTAATTAACTTTTAATTTCAGTACTTGAATCTTGCAGAGTTCCTTTTTTAATCTTACAAATTCCAGAAGCAAATCTTTAATACGATAACATCAACTATAAAAAGCTACAAATTTTCATAAGATTCTTAGTAATTCACTTTCATTATGCAACAGAATCCTTTTCTACAAAACTGCAATTTTCGGAAATTGCAGATTTCTATATAATTACCATCTAAATTAATAATAATTTGAAACTAAAAATTAATAACAATCTGTAGGAATGTCCAAATTCATAATAGCTCAATTATTGTACACAATTCCTTGAAAGCTTTCTCAAAAAGTATTCCTGAATTACAAAATTATCTCAATAATCTAATATTTAATTTTTGCAATTTACTTTCAAAATCATTCCACCAAATTGTTATATCAGGTTTCTGAAATTTCTCGATGTTGAACGGCAGACTCTCGAGGCTTGTTAGAACCATCGTTGTCGTTCGGTCAAAGAGAGGAGTAGAGAAGCGGAGGGGACAAAGTTGCATCGCTGCCAAGGGAGCAGAATGCACCTTCCACTTCTCTCGGTCGAGATCATGGGCGCCGGCTTCGGGAGATCGTGTGACGATAAAATCCCTGGTGTAATGCTCTATCCACACTGGCTCGTTCATTATGACTATGATAGGTATTACCTGTGTATTATAATAAACGTTGGTACTGTCTCGTATAATTTTACGTTAGCTTAATGTGGACCGCTGCAAGAATCTCGCACAATATCATTAGACTGGAAAATTACACGCGATAGCCTCTATTGCATCGTCGTCATCTGCTGTTTCTGTTACCTATAATTTTTATATGTTGTTTGATTGTTTAATAATTATTGCATCTAGAACATTTTTAAGTTTGAGTTGTTTATGTATGTTTTTGCTGATGACACTGACGTCAACCAATGATGTTGACGTATGTTAGTATGATCAAATAATTATAAATAAATTTAAATAACTGCTAGAGAATTTTACATTAGTTTACGTTATTTTTAATGATAATAATATTCTAATAAATTGTGTTGACTTCGTGAGTAAGAGAGTTGCTGATTTTTATTTGATTAAACTTATCTAGTGACTTTAATTTGGGTATAATTCATATACGTTGTTTTATTTTTAGTTTCTTTTCCTATTTTTAGAATAAAGATAATAAAACATGTACTTGAGTTTAACATGAGAATCATGTTAACATTCCAATTATTTATTTTGTTAAATTTTTTACTATAAAGGAGTTACGAAAATATCAACTAAACTTTCAACTAAATTTTTTTACAATCATGAAATAAGGGGGAGGGAATACTTTAAAGTTTTGTAATCTTCGTATTTCTCCGAAACAAAATAGCATATCTTTCTCGAATACAGACGAGTGTGCAATTCGCAATCGTCTGATTTTTCTTTTCCTCACTATATAGATTATTTTAACAACCTCTTGTTCTCGGTATAAGTAGTCATTATTGTAAATAACGAAGCATTCCTAAACTCTTTATTCTCATCGAATCAGATGGTATTTTTATTAAATTTTTCCAGATTTTTCCTGAAATTTTATTACAGTAAAGTTTGGGAATGGAGACTTATTGGAACTGAAATTAGAGGTTAGGATCTCGTTATATTTTGTGTAGTGTTTTATTTTACTTTAGTCGTCATATACCAATAATGATAATTATTCAGAGTAATAATGGAAAAAGAACATAATATACTTATGATATACAGACTTATAAAAAGGAAGCAAAGGAGCAAGGAAAAGAAGTGGAATAGAAATTAAATATTAGAATAAAAGAAAATTATACAAAAAAATAATAATAAAAACGCGTTTCAAAGTGACCTAAGGTAAAACTTTGAAAGTAGTACCTTAAATAGCGAGTCGGAGGATATTTGAACAATTGACTCAGTGCTGAACAATTCAAACTTGCGACGTTCGCTTTCATGTTTAAAAACAGTATCATATATCTGAGGATCAACAGATCAATTCTGTCATCTTCTGTGTTGTTTTCTTCGGACCTATTCAAAAGATTCGTAGATAAAGAAGATTGCGACATTATCCGAACTTTCCTCGCATTGTCTTTGAAAAAGTGTTACCGGGACATGTCCGACAAGTTATAATCAAAGACCATTAAAAATTACTTGAAGATCAAGGTTAAGTTGCTTAAGTACACACTCAAGGGGGAAACAAGAAGAGGTTTGATTTCGAGGCAGAATAGTTGAAATTAGACTCACTCTCTCTTTCTCTCTCTCCCTCCCTCCCTCCCTCCCTCTCTCTTTCTCTCTCTCCCT